TTTAGCTTCTCTAAGAACCCGAATTGTAGGCTCAATGTCCTTTATTTATGGCTAGAAACCAAATATGAGTGAGAACATCCCATGTTCCTCTTTTTGGGTCTGGCTTACCTCACTCAGGGTAGTGTTTTCTATTTCCATCCATTTGCCTGCAAACTTCAAGAAGTCCTTGTTTTTTACTGCTGAGTAGTACTCTAATATGTATATATTCCATACTTTCTTCATCCATTCTTCCATTGAAAGGCAGTAGTTTTTCAACAACAACTTCTTGCAACATTTAGTTAATACTACCTGACTCTATAATATATGTTGAGGAGAGTCTTACTGGCTAATTCTGAGCAGCAGTAGCTCTCTGATACTTGCTGCTGCCCACCCTAGGTTGGCATCTAACCACACAGAATAGTAGGAACAAAAGAATGAGGAAGCAGGAAAGAAATGTGTCTTCTATTCTGAATGTTAGAAGTCAAGCCTAAGAAGGCAGAGAATAAAAACAATTGGTACTGCCAAGGTACTGTCCTTCAGATAACTACAACACTCAAGCACACTTCTAAATTTTTACTTATTCATACTGAGAATTGAACCTGAGGTCTCATGAACGCCAGGCCAGGACTCTACCACTGGGCTGGATCTTCAACCCCTACATGACACTCTCCATAGCTCATTTTCTGGGCATGGGATGAGTCCTTTCATTCATACTGCTTCTTTCAATGTGTGTGTACTGTGTGCATACGCATGTCCCCACACCCCACCGCAGGGCACACTGGGGACAGAGAAATCTTGCATGAGTCAGCTATCTCCAACATGGAGTTTCTGGGCATCAAGCTCGGGTTGCCGGGTTTGTTAGCAAGTGTCTTTATCCACTGAATTATCTTGCCATCCCAAGCCTGAACATTTTAAAAACTCTTTTACCACTTTACTATTGAGGTGGTCTTTGCTCTTCTTTTTCCTATTAGGGTATTCATTATGGACTATAACACAGGTGTGACTTCTATCATTAATAGCTCTATGTTTTGTACTTGATAATTTTAAAAACAAGCTGGAAGGACCCTAAAATTAACAAATATAAAAGTTGCTGCTAGTCTTAGCTTTCCTATCATCTGATATATTTGTTATATTACTGTTTTGACAAAATACCTCTCAAGAAGCAATTTAAGGAAGGCATGGTTTATTGTGGCTTATAGTTCAAGAGGATACATTCCATCTTGGTGGGGAAGGCATGGTAGCAGGAATGGAGAAGCTGGCAAGTCAGGAAGCAGAGAATGATCAATCTGTGAAGATGGGTTATAAAACTTCAAGGTCTGATACCCATGACCCACTTCTTCTAGGAAGCTTCCAACTCCTAAAGGCTCCATAACCTTCCCAAATCTTCCTATCTGGAGGACAAACTCATGAGCCTATGAAGAACATTTCATATTCAAACCACAGCATTTGCTATAATTTATCTGCTCCGGGCTTAATTTCTCTTCTGTAAAATGAAAGTCTTTCTTACTATAAGATCTGGAACTTAAAAACAACTGGAGAAAAACACAGGGAAGATATTTTAAGATATAGCATTTGCAAGTACTTTCTGAAAAGAACTCCACTAGCACAGGAAATAATCTTAAAAACTGAGAAAGTTTTTAAGGCAGTGGTGGCGCACGCCTTTAATACCAGCACTTGGGAGGCAGAGGCAGGCAGATCTCTGTGAGTTCAAAGCCAGCCTGGTCTACAAGAGCTAGTTCCAGGATAGGAACCAAAAGCTACGGAGAAACCCTGTCTCGGGAAAAAAAAAAAAACCCTGAGAAAATGGATTACATCAAATTAAAAAAGCATTTTGTATAGCAAAGGAATCAACCACCAGAGTAAAGAGAGCCTACATCATGGGAGAAAAGTCTTTTCCAAGTATGCATCTGGCTATCTAGAATCCACAAATACCTTAAAAAATTAAACACCCAGATAAGTGATGTTCCGTTTCAAACCCAAGACAAATGCCTCAGGTGCCTATTTAACACACCCCAAAGCCCAAATCATCTAACCAATAAATGGGCTAGTGAACTGAACAGGTATTTCCTAAAGGAAGAAATTCAAGTGGCTAGTAAATAAATATTTAAAAAAAAATTCAAGATTTCAAAAAAATATTCAGAGAAATGCAAATTAAATTGCTTTTAGATTTCATCACACTCCAATAAGAATGGTGTCATAAGACAACAGTAACAGCAAATGCTGGGTTCTCAAAAACTGAAACAGAGCTCAATGGCCCAGCTATACCAATCTTGGGAATATACCTGAAGGACTATAAGTAAACGTACCAGAGACACATGTATACATGTTTATTGTCGCACTATTTATAATAGACAGAAAATGGAACTATCCTAGATATCCATCAACACATGAATAGGGAAATAAAATATGCATATACACAAGAAAATTTATGTAGTCATAAAGAAAAGTTAAGTCATGACTTTTGAAAGAAAATGGATGTAACTGGAAACTACATGAAGTGAAATAAGTCAGACTCAGAAAAGTAAATACCACAGTTGTTCTCTCACAAAGAATCCTGATTTAAAATTGCCTGTGCAGGCCATGAAACTAGAAAGAATAATATGAAAGGGGAGGAAAAGACTTTAAGAGAGCTGGGAAATAGAGTAATGGAATACATGTAATAAGAAAGCAGAAGTTGGTGTCAACTGGAGGAAGAAAGGGAAACAGCTGGAGGGAGGAACATAGGAAGAATTCAGAGGGAGGGAAACAAGTGAGAGCAAAATATAATGACATATATGTGTTAAGGTGCCAGCAAAAGCCAGGCAGTGGTGGTGCACGCCTTTAATCTCAGCACTCAGAAGGCAGAGGCAGGTGGCTGGCTCTCTATGAGTTTGAGGCCAGTCTGATCTACAGAGTGAGTTCTAAGACAGCCAATGCCACCCAGAAAAAACAAAAAGTGGGGGGGGGCAGAATGAAACTCATTACTTTATACACTAACCTAAAATATTAATTAAAAATTAAGACCTTTACCAAATGTCCTAGTTTGGTTTCTCTGATTCTATGATAAAACATTGATCAACATTAGCTTAGGGGGAGGAAGGGTTAATTTGGCTTCTATAACCCAATGTCCACTATTGAGGGAAGCCAGGGCAGGAGCTAAAGCAGGAACTGAAGAGGACCATGGAGGAAAGCTGCTTACTGGTTTAGCTTCCAGGCCCACCTGCCTAGAAATGGTACTGCCCACAGGGAGCTAAGCCCTCCTACTTCAATGAGCAATTTAAAAATGTCTCACAGATATGCCACAAGACAATCTGATGGGGGTAATTCTTCAACTGAGGCTTCCTCTTCCCAGCTGACTCTAGGATTGTGTCAAACTGACAGATGAAGCTCACTATGACACCAACCTCTACCATTCTATGGTTCTACACGATGTTTTATTGTAAGAAACATTAAGTATTAGTCTTTTTTTTGTCAAATACATAAAACTTTTGCTTACAACAACGAGTTCAAATCTCCTCCACCTTGTAAGACTTTTATATAAAGGCTTTAATCACCCACCTAGTAAAACGGATTCATACAAAGGCTCCCCTGTATTCTTGGATCTTATGTGGCTGGCCCCTTTCTTATTTCCTTTGTGCTGATTCTTATAAAGCTAGCCAGTGGTGAAAGACTGAAGTGGGGGGGGGGGGCTATCCCATGGAAAAGACAGCCACCACTTGCTTTAGAATAAAAATCAAGAATATTTCTTGGCCTTGTGTGCTTGATCAGAAATAAAATTTATCTTGTTTACTCTTGATCAACATTAAATTTCTGCCTTATAGAGACTTCAT